ACCTTTGAGCATGTCCTCTTCTACGAAGTCCACCGTGCTATTGTCTCTCCGCCGCTTGGATGTCTCCGGTGAAACAAGAAAACCGCGTGATGGCTTTGGTCGGCTTTCGATCCCAGCCATGGCAAATCGCGTACCCTCANATCNGGTGATGTANAANCTCTCTNCGGNTGGAGCCTCTGGATCNGAANNCNCGAACTTACCGATGACGGTGGATCTCTCCTGCATGTCGACGTCGCTAGGCTTTCCGAGCATGCCTCCACCAAAACCGCCGGATCCACCGGAAGTAGTCTCGGCCTCTTCGAGCTCTACCTCAAAGCGCCACCACCACCGCGACCTCGCTGCTCATCACCACCATCGACGGGTTCTACCCTCAACCCTTCATCTTTGGCCGAGATCTCATGGTGAGATCTCTTGCTTTATCATCTGGGTGACTGAGCTTCACTCGGACTTAAATCCGTCACATCTTTCGTGGCGGTGGTCCTCACGTTCTCCGGGCTCACCGACGACAAAGCTCCTCCTCCGTCATTCGGACTTAAATCCGTCACACCTTTCGTGGCGGTGGTCCTCAGGATCTCTGGGCTCACCGACGACAAAGCTCCTCCTCCGCGCTCTATATCCTCCCCCTACCGATGCTGGACTTTTGAGCCAGTATCCCTCGAAGCCCAAGCAAGACGTAAACCCGACACACCCAATCGAGTGGCGGTGGTCCCAGAGCCGACTGAACATTCCGATGACCAGATTGCTCCTCCTCCGACATGTAGGTGGGGCTTTCATCTCATTTGTATTGTTGGGCTGAAATGAGGAAAATTACTTAGTGGGTTTGGTTTGGGATCTTTGTTTAGAGGACATGGCCCATAGTTGCTTGTTTTACTTAGTGGACCTTCTCCTAAGGCTTACTCCAGCTTGTCGTTTGAGAGTAACTAGGAGCACTGTTCTTATCGATAATTTTCTATCATATTGTGTCACTAGTGCCATATTTCGGTATCTAGGAGGTGAGTGTAAATCCAGGAACTTATTTTCCTCGGTGACTCGATCTGAAGCCCAAGGAGCTTTTAAAGAAGGTAAAAGGACTTTCTTGGTAAAATCTAAAATCGAGTCATATATTTTGGCTCGATAGTTTCCAAACACCATGGTTTACCCCATGATTTGTCATCTCTTTCCACAAGATTTGAGTTTATCCGCTTTAGTTTCATCTTGGCATGGCATGCCTTTGTAATCGAATTCTAAATTTAATGAAGTTTTTTGTTGACAAAAAAAAATATATATATATTGTGTTCGCACACTCCCTAGACTTTGTGATTTGGTTGAAACAAGACCATCATATTAGTTATTTTTCTAGCTCAATCATAAACTAAGTCTTTTCAAATTCAAATTTGTTGTTTATTGTCAATACCAAAACGTGTCGTCGTTATATATCATATAAACCAATGTTATGTCATTGTAGATGAAAATTGTTTAGAGGTTAAGCATTTTTTGTCGTTGGATAATCAATTTCATGAAATGCTCAAATTTTGTTTAGAGGTTAAGCATTGTAGATGAACTTAGTTCAAATTTTGTTGAGAGTTTTTTTCATTAAATGCTCTTGGTATTACGAGTAAGCTTAAACTATTATTTTAGCTAGTAAATTGCTTAACATTGGTAGCAATTTAATAGGATAATCACTATTTGATGAAGAGCATTATAACCAAAATAATGATGACAATTTGACAGTGAAGAAGAAATGTTATCATCATAATAACTTTGGAACCATCGGGTTTGATCTCTAAACTCAAGGAATAATTAAATCTACATATAATAGCAAACCCAAAATCTTATCGGAAAACCGTCTTGTATTTATAGGTTTATGCTAGAGTCTATTTTTTTTTTAAAAAATCGCATTATGGTTATTTTGAAATGTTACATCTTCTCAAAAAAAACCGCTTTATGGTTATTTACAAGAGTTACATCTTTTCGTTAAAACTGCTTTGTCAAGAGTTGCGTCTTTTCATTGTAACCGTTTTGTCAAGAGTTGTGTCTTTTTATTATAACTATTTTGTCAAAAGTTGCATCATTACAAAAATAATCGTTAAGCAGTTATTTTTCGAAATAACCGCTTTATGGTTATCGCTAAAAGTCGCGTCTTTTCAGAATAATTGGTTGGCCATGTTTTAGTTTTTCTGTTTTATTCAAAAAATCGCATTATGATTATTTTGAAAGGTTGCATCTTCTCGAAAAAACTGCGTTATGGTTATTTGCAAGAGTTGCATTTTTTCGCTAAAACCGTTTTTGTCAAGAGTTGCGTCTTTTCATTGTAACCGTTTTGTCAAGAGTTGTGTCTTTTCATTATAACAATTTTGTCAAAAATTACGTCTTTTCAAAAATAACCGATAAGTAGTTATTTTTTTAAATAACCGCTTTATGTTATCGCTAAAAGTTGCATCTATTCAGAAAAACCATAAATATGTTTTAGTTTTTCTGTTTTTTCAAAAAAACTGTATTATTGT